ACAATCAGGATAACATTTCCGTAACCATTAACCACTCAACCCTCTCCCCTGGGTTGTTTGTTATATGGCTGGGCTCGAATTCCGTCACTCGTTCCTCCTCTCAGGAGAGGAGCGCGGGCTCCAATTACCGTATTTTCTCAATGAAACACCCCTGGCGTCTAATTCAAACTTGGTCTTGTGAACCCGGCGTTTGTTTCAGTCTCCAGTTTTTTGGTCATTTTTCTTGACACAGGTGTTTCTAGTCTTAACAGCGCAAGTTTAACGTACTACAAATAAACGTCTGAGGTTTTATTCGCAACATTCCCTTCAAGATCCGGCGATTAATCGAGAAAATACGGTACATCTATTAAATTCGTACGCACATGCGTACCGCGCACAGGTAGCTAAGCCCCTGGAAGAAGGACGTGGGATTTTCTAACGGTCGTGCCCGTTAAAGCGTTATGCTGTCCGTTTAATAAATGTTTCTCCGAGTATCAGTCAGAGACACTGTTTTTCCTTTGTTTGCGTGCAATTTTTATTGGAAAGTAACATCATGACATTAAATTGTACATTATTTAGTGGCCTTTGCCAATGTCACACACTCAAGTAAGCAATAGTTCACAAGGTGAAAACTTTTCTCAAAGACTACAAGTTTAGACATCGCTTCCTCCGAGTTCATTTATATAGAAATTGACAATTAATTTTGTTCTGGTTAATAACCACACGAAACGAATGTTTTAATGGTGCGTTTCAAGTGTATAACTTCCTCCTGATATTGAAACATCTTGCGTCTGAAAAATTTCTAGGAGAGTTATTTACCCTAAGCCGAGCTCCCTTCAAGCAATTTGAATAACTGGCACAGAAAATTCCCGATGACATAAACCATCTCCGATTTGTGCCCCCAATACTGAAGTGAAAGAAGGTGTGGTCTGCTCTGCATACTGATGTATTGTTCTTCGGGTTGAACAGAGACAGGATCTTTTAAAGAGTTTATGCCTCAAAAAAGGATAAGACGTGAACGTTAGACTTGACTACCAGCCCAACTTTTGACCGGGGTTTACTCTTTTTAGAGTCTTCCATTGTGACGCTTGTAGATCGTCACGACTGTTTCATTAAAGATCTATTTTGGGGTGAAATGTTTCAGAAAAGGTCCCAAAATTAATGTTTTCCTCGAGGCTAGGGGTAGGGAGGTGAAAGGTTTGTATAAAAAGAGCGCATAGGTTGCGCTTCTCTGTGCCAACTTAGTTGATCAACTCCCGTCCATGAGTTATTAAAGTTGAAATTGCATGACCAGGTAAAAGTGCACGAGCCTGTATCTGGTTCAAGTTATCAAGCCTTTAAGGGGCAGTTAGCGTATAAAATGACGCAATTCCAGCAGAACTAAATGAGGATAAATTAAACGCTCTGGTGCAAAAAACTTCCAAACCTTCCCTACTCTACCAACAGAAACTAACGTCCACTTGTAGTCTTCTTGGCTTCTTTGCAACTTGTATAATATTTGGTCTATAATAATGGAAAAAATGATGACGATACATCAACATGTTACATCACTATCACTGGATGACTTTTAATACAGTCACGTAACAGGATGGTTCATCTCATTAACAACAATTGCGTCTTGCTTCTTTTTGTTCTACTAAGATGCGCGTTAGCAGAAAACCTAAACAGATTTGAATTATCGCGGTCACAAGATATTTTCCCAGATACGTACCAAAGAGTAGGTTAGATTAGTAAGGGGATCAGGACCTGGATTCGAGGCCATATGGCTTTAAGTTTGTTTGTTGGTTGGTTGGTTTTTGTTTCGCTCAGTTTCACTGACGCAAGGGCAAGTTTTCACATTTGTAGAGCTCCTTAGCTTTCCGAAAGTAAAATTGAAATGCAATAGGCCAGTGAGGAAAATTAAAATTACGGCAATTTGAGAATACGTTTACGTTTCTCAAGATCTTACCATGTGCGCGCTGTCACAGAATAGGGTTACTTCGAGTTTTGATTGGTTCAATGTATTGTCTGTGTCCTATGTGATTGGCCAGAGTAATTACTTTGGTTTTGGTTTTACGACACTCAAACGAAAACCACTCTAACATCACGACATTAAATTGTACATTATTTAGTGACCTTTGTCAATGTCACACACTCAAGTACGCAATAGTTCACAAGGTGAAAACTTTTCTTAAAGACTACAAGTTTAGACATCGCTTCCTCCGAGTTCATTTATATAAAAATTGACAATTAATTTTGTTCTGGTTAATAACCACAGGAAACGAATGTTTTAATGGTGCGTTTCAAGTGTATAACTTCCTCCTGATATTGAAAAATCTTGCGTCTGAAAAATTTCTAGGAGAGTTATTTTCCCTAAGACGAAATCCCTTTAAACAATTTGAAAAACTGGTACAGAAAATTCCCGATCGCATAAGCCATCTCCGGTTTATGCCCCCAATACTGTGGTGAAAGAGGGTGTGGTTTGCTTTGCATACTGATGTATTGTTCTTCGGGCTCTTACATGGGTTGAACAGGGGACAGGATCCTTTAAAGAGTTTATGCCTACAAGTCCAATTTTTGACCGGGGTTTACTCTTTTTAGAGTCTTCCACTGTGACGCTTGTAGGTCATTACTGTTTCACTGAAGATCTATTTTGGGGTGAAATGTTTCAGAAAAGGTCCCAAAATTAATGCTTTCCTCGAGGCTAGGGGTAGGGAGGTTAAAGGTTTGTATAAAAAGATCTCATAGGTTGCGCTTCTCTCTGCCAACTAAGTTGATCAATTCCCGTCCACGAGTTATTAAAGTTGAAATTGCATGACCAGGTAAAAGTGCTTGAGCCTGTATTTGGTTCAAGTTATCAAGATTTTAACGGACAGTTGGCGTTAAAAATGACGCAATTCCAGCAGAACTAAATGAGGATAAATTATACGCTCTGTAGCAATGCTTTTATGTCTTCTTCCAAAACTTCCTCACTCTACTAACAGACACTAACGTCCACTTGTAATCTTGTTGGCTTCTTTGCAACTTGTAGAATATTTGGTCTATAATAATGGAAAAAATGATAACGATGCATTAACATGTTACATAACTATCATTGGATGTCTTTTAATACAGTCACGTAACAGGATAGTTTACATCATTGACAACAATTGCATCTTGCTTCTTTTTGTTCTGCTAAGATGCGTGTTAGCAGAAAACCTAAACAGATTTGAATTATCGCGGTCACAAGATATTTTCCCAGATACGTACCGAAGAGTAGGTTAGATTAGTAAGGGGATCAGGACCTGGATTCGAGGCCATATGGCGTTAAGTTTTTTTGTTGGTTGGTTGGTTTTTGTTTCGCTCAGTTTCACTAACGCAAGAGCAAGTTTTCACATTTGCAGAGCTCCTTAGCTTTCCGAAAGTAAAATTGAAATGCAATAGGCCAGTGAGGAAAATTAAAATTACGGCAATTTGAGAATACGTTTACGTTTCTCAAGATCTTACCATGTGCGCGCTGTCACAGAATAGGGTCGAGGCATCGGCGGCTGAAACTCAACTTTCTGCTGACTGTTGATTTGGCTTAATCTGTCCTGATGTTTTGCTGATGGTGAACTGAAATCGGTTGCGGGAAGGACACGGATGGATCCACCATGACCATTCTTTGGACTTGAGCTCTGCGGTCAATAAAATCCAACAGTGAAACTAGCACTTAACTCTAAACAATATTTCTCACTTATCGCACTCCCATTCCCACTACTCCACAAACTTATTACTTCACGCCTACACATTTTTTTCTATTTTCCCTACACCACCACCACCACCACTGCCACCACCTTCGACAACAGGAATCAATCAATGAATACTTATTTTTAATCAACCAATCACACACCAAGCCATTAATCGATTTAAAAATAACTTAACAACCTGTGTCCAACCGGTATTGCTGGCCAAGTTAATACGTTTTCTGCGCAGAAAGACGGAGTAACCAGGCCCTGCTATACCACTGGGGTTGTTGGGGCAGCGTGACCGAATAGTCCAATCCGGAAGCCCGTCGGCCAGTTGGGACTCATACCTGTCATGTTCATTTCTATCAATTCCTTTTTATCTTATATTATTTGTGGGCCACAATG